CAACGGTTCTTTTTATGGTTGCTTGAGAAACCTCCAAACAGAAAATGATATGACATAGTGATAGGGCCCGAATGCTTCTAAATGCCCGAGCTTCACAGCTCTCCAGGCAAGGACAGTGAATCATAATGAGATGCTGAATACACCAGGCGAAGGAAATGTCATTAGACAGGATGCTAGAGCTTTGTATCTGTTGGTGGGAGAAAGCAAGAAGGGGCTGGAGGGGGGGAAGATAGGTATTAGAATGGACGTCATGTCCTCAGACTGCTTCACAGTCAGGAAATCAAGGCTACTGTGGAGATTAAGTGGGACATTTTGTAATGCATCTTCAGCTGTACCTCTTTTTACAGATTTGACATCCAGATGTACTAGACAAAACAGCAATGTGATGTGAAGGCACTAGCAGATGGGGAGGTGGGAGGAATATTACACTGGAAATTGTGAATTAGTCCATCCAAAGATATTTGAAAGACATATTTACACTATTCTAGTACCTGTTTGTCCAGCCCCAGGAAGAGAGAGGAAGCAGATGGAGGTGTGTTTTTTGTAATTTACTGCCTGATTTTTCACATATGCCCTCGTCTCCCCAGGGAGTAAGATTGTTCTAGGGGAGCTGTATAAAGAAAACCTGGAGGTGGGTTCCTTGTTCTCTGCCAAACATCTGGCAGCTTTTGAAAAGCTGCAACTCAGCATCAGTATTGCCAGTTGCTTCCTCTTTAGGCAAGGACTTTCTTCACCATCACACAAGAAGAGGAACAGCCTTCCCACAACTCAGGCTAAAGTAAAAGAAAATAATGTATGAGTTCAGGCACCAGATCCTTCTGCATTTGGGACACAAACTATCTTGTCTCCAGCACCTGGAGGGCATGAACGTTACCATGATTTTCTTCCCAACTAACACGATCATTTCCACTTCCCTGTTCTTTCTGTAATCCATATTCCCCAAACACAAATAATTCAACTGTTTTGGAAATCTATGAGCCTGAATCCATCTTCTAGATGTATCAGAGAAATGTAAAGTAACTGCCACTGCCTTGGAAATCCAGGTAGGGTGGATGCTGATACTAGTGGTGGTAGGCAAAGCCTTGCCCACAAGTTTTACAGAACAAACTGCAGTCCTTTGTAAGATCAAGGAGACTTTCCCAACTGCTCAGCTGTTTTGCAGAAATGGGAGTTTCAGACTGTGGAGTTATTAGGGACAACAATTCTAGGAGTGATAATCTTGGCTTTTTTTTTTGTGTGTGTGTGTGTGTGTGTGTCAGTTCTTTGATTAGTCATCCCAGGCAGCTGTTCCCATGAAATGTGAAAAGGCATCATTATATAAAAACTTGCATGAGCAAGCTAGCTGGTAATTGGAAGTAAGAACCATTGCTACATCCTCAATATTGTTTTTACTCTGGTAAATTATCATCTTCACTAGAGCTACTCATTATTTGCTTAAGAACAAAAAAGTGCTCATTTTTTTTTCAGAGAATACTGAAGATTTCCTTAATATTTTTTCTTTTTTTACATTCAAGATGCTGGATTTTAAACATACTTATTACACCATTACAAAAAGGTCTCTGGCAAAAGACTATCATTGACTACACTGATACTTTTTGCATACAGACTTTTCAGGAATGTTTTAGGTACAGTGGAAAGAAATATTGATGAGATGTGTGTTTCTCAGAAGGGACATCAGTTGTTAAAAAAAAAAAAAAAAGTCTTCTGTATCTTCAACAGAAAACCAGCTTTTGACTTTTGAAATGGAATTAATACGTTTTAAAGAGTTTTTTATTGCAGCTTTTTGAGAGGCACAAACATAAGCTTTTAAACAACACTACAAAAACTTTTGATACAAGGTTTTGAAATACTCATTTTGAGTGTATTGTTTGAAATGGGCATTCACAGCCAATTAACTGAAGCATGCTCCTCTCAAATGAAATTTCCTGTGTACACAATCCAATCTTACCTCTGGGATGAGATATACACTCAGTAATTAATCACAACATTACTCAGCCTTTTTGGTGTTTACCACCTTCCTTCAAGCAATGGACTCCAGGGCTATTAAGATAAGCATCATGCAGGAGCAGAAGAATAGAGAATAGGCAGGAGCCTGCAGGGGAACTGAGTGCATTTCCTTATGAAGTGCAACTACGCTTATATTCATAGTTTAAGAAAATCCTAAAACAGAAAGATTTGGTTTAAACCCATGAAGAAAATAAATATTCTCTGCTGTGTGGACACTTGCTTCAGACTTAACAGTGTACACAAAATATTCTCTGCATGCATTCAGAAAAGACCACCACACAGGATTAATTTTGCAGCATATTATATAAGGGCTTAGATATGTAATTCACCCTGACTTCAGATGAAGCAAACCACACTCACTCAGCACTTGCTTCTGTGATGTTCACTGGCATGCCCTGACTGCATTTAAGGCCCACAGTGCCAGTCCTGTTTAGCAGAAACATGTGCTGTAGGTGGGCTGGCATGCAACGGGCAGTTTCTGTTACTGTTTACTCTCATATAAATCCCAATCACTCTGAGGGAGACTGAAGAGAATTTAGCCCCTTTTTCAATAGAAAAGCCCTATGAAATGTGATAGTGGGCCTGCCTCTCCTCTCAAGCTGCTGCAAGTCACACAATACTTAAAATTTAAGCCATTTTACAGCTTAGTTTCACAGTAGTGTGAAGCTAATGGAAGCTGCTTCCCTTACCCTGCTGAAAAGGACAACACATCATTGATTGAGAGGAGATGCAAATCCATCATAGCTGAGATTTATGGAGTTTAACAGAAGCTTAAAATTAGAAGTTGCAATTCTTGTAATTTCAAACTCATGAATCAGGCAGTGTTCAATACTCGGTTGCCACCTGTATTAGGATAAACAGGAAGAGAGAAGTGTAACCAATGGCTTTTTTAAATTACAGGTAGATCTGTTTTCTGATGAGTGATTTGTTTAAAGCAAATTCCTAATTTTGAACTGCCCCTCTTTCTTAAATCCTAGGCTGTCCATCCAGTCTTCAATTTTGCATTAGATAGTGCTGTGCTAGCATTAGAACTCTTATCCTTCCTCCCTGCAACACCACTTTCCCACATTTTATTAATGCACACAGTAGTTTGGCTTTGGTATTCAGAGCCCTGCATCAATTGTACCTGGTGTTTGCAATTCTGTGGTTGGGAAAGATCAACTCTTGTTGGAAAGTGGACCAAACTGCATTTGAGATGTGGCCAAGCTGTAGTACTGAGGCTGTTGGTCCTATGCAGTCTGGGTTTTGACCTTCATTTGAAAACTTTATCATTGCATACACCAGCCATGTTCTGGCAGTTTTAGGGTGTAGCTTGCCTTAAGCTAATAAAGGTTTCCAGATAACATTGCTTAAAGATTTCAGTCAACACTTTATCGGGGTGGATAAATAGAATTAAGAGTAAGTATTCTTAATTCAAAATGCAATCAGTTGATCTGCAAAGTAAAGCAAATTACATTCTTGACTGCGGATTTACAGTGTCCCTACTGGCAGGAAGCTTTGACAAAAAAGAACTTTGATACCACTGATGTGGGAATGATATTTTACACCAGTTTGTGAAGGTTTTTCCAACAAGTGTTTTCCAACTATTTGCATGATAAACGTATTGTCAGTCCAACTTTCATAAATATATTTACACTGCTGATTTTGGAATACTGTCAGTAGGACAAATGTTAGATCTATTTGAGTACCGACCTGTAATTCTGTGTAATTACCACTTACCAGTGTGAGAAAATGGCTGAGTGTCCTTGAAACATTCAATCTGCCTAGACAATGGAGTTTGTGCACTAGGGAGTACATGGCTTATCCCAAGTCCTATCACGTATATACAATACTACTACTGACATCTGAGAAAAAAACAATTAATCCCACAGTTCCAAGCTTTGTTCTTTCAGATCTCAGTTTCACAGGCAAACTCATCAGGTGGTTGTGCACGCACTCCGTGAGTACTATTATTTTTACTCTAGAGCAAATGAGGTATCATGGCTTGAGGCCCAAGGCTCAAAATATCAGTCTCCACAAGGAACACTACCTCTCGTTTCAGTCAACAGATGTGGTCTTCCAAGCTTACAAATCCAATTCTATTCCCACAGCGCTGTTAAGTACAATTAATGCTACCAAAGTCTGTGAAATCAGTCAACATTAAAGAGCAAATGATAGTTAGGGAGGAAAAGTAGCATTCCTTAGAGTCATTTCTCTTTACTGTGCCTACAACTCTGCAGAAGTTTCCTACTGGTTAGTAGAAGGGGAAATTCTTGATCTCAAATAGGTATCACTTCAGGCACTGAAGCCACCAGCTATTCTTGACTTCCATCTGTGGAATAAACTCAAAAAAACCAACAGGATAGGTCACGATACTGGCTCCAACCCTGATTACACAAACGAGGAGAACAGCATGGTTGCTCTAATAGCACGTGTGGTTATTCTTTTGGTGTTCTTGTACTGCATTTTTATTGCTTTCAGATCTACTGCAAACAGATCAGGCATCTTGTTTGCTTAGACCTATGCTGTGTGAATTCAGTTCTCTGTTTGCTAGCTTTTGTATTTGGAAAGCTCTGCAGCCACTTTTTGCAATGCGGGTCCATTCCTGTCATAATCTACTAAGCTGCTTATTAACAGTATCACAAATGATCACTGCTTTAATTAGTGCCACTATTAATTGTGCATAACATCGCATTCTTACAGCTTTGTCATATGATGATCAATGACCTCACCTTTGTTCCTGCAAACATACAAGACCTAAGTATGAACAGAAAATCAGCTACTGTCCATTCACATGACTAAAATAATGCCTGTTCTGAAAAGCTTGCTCCATAAAAAACATTAGAAATATATATTCAAATGTACCATGTTTTCATCTCTTTCTCTGAAGAGGGTGCGAGAAAGGGGGGTCACCTTGCTTGACTCAATGAGAAATCAACCACTGTCCTGTTATGAGTAGCAAAAGGACAGTAAAATCTCTTGTTATTAAACTAACAGCTTGTTTTGTACCACAGATCTACTATTATTCAGAAGGACAGTCTTATTCCTATGGAGAGTTTAAGGACAGGATCACAGCTTCAACAAGTCCCGGGAACGCATCAATAACGATCTCCAACATGCAGCCCTCAGACACTGGTTCCTACACCTGCGAAGTTTTCAGCCCCCAGGATGGTGCTGGACAGAGTCAAAAATCAGTGATTGTCAATGTGCTGGGTAAGTAGCTTTCCTGTGTGCTGCTGTGTTGTACTTTCCCTGCCTTTTTACAAGAACTGAGCTCACGTCACAGCAGCAGGGGGAATAACAGAGTAGTGATAAACAAGGCCCATGATGCAGAAAAAGGGCTCATTTATGTATTGACGCAGTTTTGCTTGGAGGCTTTGGAGGCAGAGAGAGCTTGTGGTGCCATCTAGCTTCCAGACAAAGCAGATCTCGTCTGATCCCACTCACAGCTGTGTTTACTTGGCCTACAGTAAAATCCCATTCTCCCACAAGAGGCCTTTATATTCATCCTCTCCAAAAGCTACCTAAACAGGTAGCTGGAACTACCCAACTTCACTGGATTTGTGATGTCGGAAAAGAAGGGATACTGTTTCATTAAAATAAGAAGCCCTTCTAGCCATAAGTGACAACTCCCCTGGGAAGCCACTGCTTTCAGCATAACCCAGGCCCAGCAAAGACAACACGGACTGAGGTCTAATGGCTGTGATGACCTGTGTGAATGTGGGACAGGCAGCAGGACAGCCCAAGGGTTCTACTCCACCCTGTACTCCAGAAGCTCTAGAAACTCAGTATATGTTGAACGGAAATATGATTAAATCTATTTTGAATTGAAGAAAACAGCAGTTCAGCCATGAGCAGGCTGCACAGAAGATGGAAAAAGAAGTGGAATGAGGTATTTTTCTTCCTAGTAAGAGAAAAGTTTGCCCTAGCCCCATCTAACCATTGCTTTTGTACTAAGAATTCATACCTGATGGCAGCTACAAATCATAGCCGTATGCAAGCAAACTCAATATGATTTACCTATCTGCCATGGATAAGGCAAAGACACGTGTAAATCCAACCTCTGACAGTCACGTTTTCAAAGTACAATTACTAATCCTCATCTAAAATTCCCTGAAGAGTAAATCCCAGAACAATTAAGAAACCATACTATTCACATAAAAATTCATTTATGCACATAAAATTTCGCTATGTTCATTGCTTGTATAGTTCCACTGATGTCACTTTAAAGAACTACAACAGCACATCTAGATGTAGGAAATGGAAAATTATAGCTCTAAGTAAAAGTATATCTTTTGTGTATAAAGTGAGAAAACAGTATCCAAATAGATTTTTTTTCTTTTTTTTAAATTTATTTATTTCCTCCAAACCACAGGACACTGAAGTATCAGGCCTGACCCTCACCTTTTAGATAGAAAAGCTCCTGTGGCCCTACAGGAAATGATGCTATGTGGCAGAAAATGATACATGATGAATAGTGACTGACTCATTATTAAGTAGTTGATAGTTTTCATCACCTCCATAACAGAACTTAGCATGTAAAAGGAAGACTAGAAATAGTACTAGGCTATGTATATATATTTAGTATATTTAGTATGACTCAAATCTTTATAGATCTCTCGGCTAGATCTATAAACAAGCCTATGGTCTCAGGTGGAAATCTGTAACTGGAGTTCAGTTCTTTACTGCAGCAGCACAAGAACAGGTCTCAGTGTGGAAACTGCAGCCCTGGCTGTATACTCATATGTCATTCTCATTGTTATTTTACAGTCAAACCCTCAAAGCCTTTCTGCAAAATAGAAGGAACGCCTGAAAAAGGCCATCTGATCTACCTCTTATGCAAGTGTGACCAAGGATTGCCTCACCCCACCTACCGCTGGTACAAAGTAGATGAGAACACCCTCACGCTGGTGACTGAGCACTTCAGTACGTAACTACAGGACTACCACACCGTGTTCAGGAGCAGGAGTTTCATAGGACCAGCTAGGACTTCACACATTTTGCATCATATAGGATAGTGAAACGTATCTCTCTTCTGATGCTCAGTACCACAAACTCCTATTTTTACTTACTCAAATTGACTGATAGCTGTCACAAAGACCTAATTTTTTTGTTCTCTCCTTTTTTTCCTATTTGTTTTAATAAAAAATGTGGCATGTTGAAGTGTCATCTATACCATTGCATTGAATTGTTAAAATGGGAGAAATATTTATACCATTACATCTCTCTTCCCTTGAAAGTCTGAATGAGTGTACATTCAAAACAAGTCAAATTGTCAATCAGTTGCTAAGACTTTCAATTCTGAAAGTCTTCAGTACCCATTATCTTTTCATTTATGAAATTATACCGGCAATATTATCTATTTACAGAGTACTACAGATGTATTTACACAGTAGGGACATACTTCTTACATTCTAATATACTCCTGCAGAATCTACTATAGTAATTTTCAAGGATGGTACGAGTTTTTGATTTAAAGACTATTAGAAAAGCGAATGAAGGAAGGAATAATATTTTCCACCTCTTAACAGCTCTCAGAATTACCATAGCCATAGATGACCATTTGCCTCTGAAGTATATGAATGGCAATCTGTACCTGTTCTCTTTCATCACAGATCCAGACACTGGCATTCTGTACATTGGCAATCTCACTACCTTTGAAACAGGACATTACCGATGCATAGCCAGCAACATCATGGGGAACAGTACTTGTGAGCTCGACCTAACTTCTATGCGTAAGTGAAAGTAATCCCTTATACGATGTACATGTAACATGCTGCAGAAAAAATGCTGCAATATCCTTAAAATGAAGATTTTTGGCAATACAAACAGTGGGGGCATTGGAGAGCAATGGTCAGCCACAGTTGTGTGCAGATTTTTCATGTAACTAGTAACAGTAGATTAGTACATTTATGTATGTATGTATAAATAACCATGAGATATGTCCCCAGAATGGGTGCTCAATCATTCAGGGGTCTATAACATGAAAATGGTAAGTCAGAGCTAGCAGCTGTACTGGAGACAGAAGGTTTTTAGGGTTCACAAACAATCAGAGCACGCATTTTGTATCTCAGCTGAACAACTGTGATAAAGACAACCTCCATTTCAGAATTTATTTGAAAAGACTGAAGAGCAAAGACTTTCCAACTACTGCCAAGGTTAACAGCCCAATATTTTTCTTAGCCAGTCATAAATACGGGGTTTTCTGAGGGTAAGGAGCTAACTATCAAGAAGAGAGGCAGTGGAGACCATAAAAGCACAGTTCTCTCTTTCCTAGAGCATCTTTGGTCTCCTCAAAAAACATTTTAGTCTTTAGCCTGTCAGACTGAGTGCCTTCTTTCTGCTGTAGGCTCCTCCACCAAAATTCTATAGGATTTTGCTGTAAAATTCAAGTAATCTTTCTTTATCTTTTTAAAATTTTCTTCTCCCACCCCCCAGATTCTGACGGTAATATTGTTGCTGGAGCATTAATTGGAGCAATTTTGGCAGCTGTTATCATTTGCGCTGTCGTCTGGGTCTTAACCAAGAAAGCAAAGAAAAGGAAGTCATCAAGTAATGAAATGCAGTAAGAATTTGCTTGTTTAATTTTAAGACAATTATTTCTGTAAAGTACTGCTGATAAACCAGAGCTAAGGTAAAACGTAAGTATTGTAAACATTTATAGAAAAGTAAATAATACAATGCTTGGGAAAACTTCCAAAGTGAGATTTTTTTTTTTTTTTTTATGACCTCTAAACTGTTGCTCTTGTAACACAGGTTACCATTACTCTCTTCCTTGTTTACATGCAGTTACCATATAGCAGTTCCTAAAATAGTGATTTAGATGTTTTTAAACAAAACAAGTTGGAAAATTTGGAAAAATGGTATTTAAAATGTAAAAGTTAATGGTGGTTGTTAATAGTGGGTGGATGAAATAATAAAAAAGGAATAGCAACTAAGGGTTTTCTCAGCAAACTGACTGACTGACTACTAGATATGAGTATGGGCTATGGGACGCATGCTGAAGATGCTCTAAGGAGATACTCAAATGGAAGCAGACACAAAGGTTTAGGAACAGAATGAAGCACAGAATGAAGCACAGAATGTCCATTTTGATCCTGCCCTGGAGCTGATTTTTCCTGTGCTTTGCTCACCCATTTGTCTCTTAAATTGCCAAATCTTCAGGATAAAGATAATTTCATATGCTATACAAGCTGTATTTAGCCCCATGATGTTAAATGCTAAACACACACAGCTGAGCCTGGAAAGACTGTCATCTGGACACTGCCCTGTAGCAGAGGTCTCAGACTTCCTATGGGGACTGTTGCTAACCCAGACCAGTGGCCAGTTGCTCAATCACGTACATCATTTCTGCTTTGAACTGAAGCTGCTTTACCATATAGATTTGTGCTTGAATTCTACTCTACGTTGAATTAATCCACTTGTATCTAATGTTTTTCACATGTGAAAGTACTTAAATATTGAAAGTTGTATTGTTTTCATGAGGTGAATGGAATTCATTTGTTACTAAAAATATTTTTCTAGATGTCAGTCTCTTCATAGCTTTTTTTATGCATTTCAATGGAACCACAGATGTGCATGCTATTTCCCTGAAAGCTCACATTAACCAGTATGTTTTGCTACCCTTTCTAAGACACTGTCCAACAGCATTCAGTTTCTCATTCTCTTTTCATGACCTGGCAGTTAAGCAAAGAAATTTTTTTTTTTTTTCTAATAGCGTAACTGTTAAAACTAGTGATGCAGACCACTAGAACTGTCAGTCTTAGCAGTGATTTTATAGTTTCTCAGGTGCTCTCATGAAAGAGTAATAATAATATGGGGGCTACTGTTAAGATGAAAAAGCTACAAAGATTCATTCTTTCAAAAGACTCTAGTGTAGGCAGGACATCAATATATGAAATCACAATCCTCCTCCTGTCTTCCTGCAGAGTAATGGCCCAGAAACAATCCAATGCAGAGTATGCTCAGGTACCTAATGAAGAAAATACACCTGCAACCACAGTTCTACCAAGCAACGTGACAAACGAACAACCTAGTGCTGATGAAGCAGCAGCATCTGAAACACTGGAAAATGATGAGAAGCACGAAATGCAACAAGAAGAAACAGCCTGAAGTTCATTTTAATACAGTTTTCCTCATTGGCTTTGGATCACATTATTAAAAAAAAAAAAATCAACAACAAAAAACATCACTGAATTAACATAGCATTGTAGCTAAACTCATTTGTATTGTGAACCACTGGACTGGAGATTGAAAAGGATGGTACAGACATACTTCATGAATAGCAGACTTGGCCTTTAATGTGGTTATTTATTATCTAGTTATAGATATTACAACTAGATAACTTATTATAACTTATTATCTAGTTCAACATAGATGTAATTACAAAAAGGCTACCATCTGCAATCATCAAATATAGTTTGCAAAGCTAATCAGAAAATGATCTCAATCTTTGGAGAAAGTAAGAACTTCCAGTCAACTAAAAGGAAAAGCTGTGTGTGTCCATACAGTTCTGAATCACAGCAGCCTTCTCCACACAGTGTTTCCTGTGCACGGAGATCCACCATCACAGCCATTACATTGCTGTGTTTAAAAGATCTGGTTTTGTACTTCAGAAGTACAATCAACCTTCATCAGAGTGCAAAAACAGATTTAAAGACTTGAACCACTGAAATCTTCTAAGTCTGAATTCCACCTGAAGTTTAAAAAAAAAAAAAAAAAGTCAGGGAAACTTTTACTGTGTTACCAAACATGGGGTACTACTATGTCAGCAATGACCTTCTGACTCTAAGGTTCCCAAGACTTCAGTGTTCCTTAGTTGTGCTTTTCAGCAGTTCTGGTTTTCAGTTTAATGCAGTTAGCAATTGGGTACCCACTTCAGATCTCAGCTGACTGGTTTCCAGACAATGGGAGCTGGAAACTCAGATCCTTTATCAAATCTAGGCACACAGAGTAGCAGATTTCCCATGAAAAGCAGATGTGTCTGCTTTCAAACCTCAGAAATGAATACTGCCATCTATAAACACATCAGCTTCCTTTGCCTGATAGGACTTAACAAGATGATCATGCTACTACTCTTCTGATCTCTTTAGCCCAGTATAACTTTGTCCATTTTCTGTAGGTAAAAGCTTCAGGAGGAATGGTAAATAGCACATCCACAAGGACAGACAACAGCTGAGTGGTGAGCTCTCGTGGAAAAAACAGTTGATCCATAAACACTGGCCACTTGTCTAGCAATGGAGACAACCTCCTCTCTCTGGGCTTACTTTCAATCCTGTTCAGTTCTTCCAAAGGGCAAAGCAACCTGCTTCCAGAAGAGCTGGAGGACAAAGGGATTCTGGTTCACGTCTGTTCAAGGAACGGACACTCAGACTCAGCAGCTCCCTTATGTTCTACATGAGGCAGATACTCCTTGAAATAAGGAGACGCTGCTTTCAGTTTTGTGCACTGCAGAGAAACATATCTGACTGAGGGATCTGCTGTGTTTGGGAAATTAAGTCTCATATAGGATCTACTACTCATAAATCCTCTGGTGACTGTTCCTGTAACATTAGTTATATGCCTCATTCATCTTTCAAATAGATGATATAAAGATATAACTATGCTAAAATTTTCAAGTTCAGTTACTACAGCTGAGTACTTTCACCAACATGTAAGGCATGAGGTCCTACTGAAGATTCAGGTCGAATCATAAAACCTAACTGTATTCATTGCTCTTTCTACACAGTTTTGTAGCTTTCAAGATACATGTCTTCCAGCCTTTAGCCTCATTCTAGAGGATGAAAGCACTTACAACGTTCTGGTAACACTGTTTTAGCTAAGAACTGCTCCTGACAGAATGCACATCAAACCCTTACTCACACCAACACTGCCTCATTCTATAAGCGGATCTATACCCTCATTTTTCTCCAAAATATCCAGCCTAAACCACAACCTGTATACATGCTTCTTCTTAATCAGGCGCTTCTTTTATTAAATCTCAGTTTTTACTACGCAAAATCTGCAAACTCTAACCATGCAATTAGCTTTAGAGGCTTAATTAGTATTTTTAGATTCACAGCTGAGTAGTTTCATAGGCATGCAACAACCTGTCCCTGAGCATGATCAGTAACAGCAAGAGTGCCAATTGGGTGCCATTTCTTACCAATAATGATGCTTAATGAGATAATTCAAATGAATGATTGGTCCAAGGAAGCCCACTACTTGGCTGATGCTGGCATTAATTTTAAATAGCTTTTTCTCAGATGCTCAAAGGCCTTTTTCTACTCTTGCCTTTCATGGACAAATACACACAACTCTCTTCATAGCTGTGCTAGTTCTAAAGTAATCTCCTGCACTGTGTCAATTATATTTTTCTTACTGTAATATGTGTATAAATTTCAGGTCTCCATGATACCAGTGTGATTGTATGGGGAAAAGGGGGGAAATATATTATGTGATCATTATCATCAGTTTTCCTCATCTCACCTCTACACATTTCTCTGCATTTATTCCTCATATAACTCACCAGAGTATGCCAGGAGCTTATTCTGGTGACTCTGTTTTAGCTGTACAACATAATTACAGAGTTCCTAGACCACCATATTTGCTAAAAAATAGAACTTGCTCAAGTTATGTTAATGCTTTATATAAAACAAAGGATGCAAGTTCTTGATAAACAACCCCTCCCTTATTTCTACCCAGCAGATTGCAATATTAAAGAACAGTCCAGCAAAACAAAAACCCAAAGAAACAAACTGAAAAAAGCAGAACAGATTGCTGGGGATGAGGAAAATAACAAATACATTTGTTTGCAGTTTCCTAATATAGAGAGCTTTCTCGCAGATGTTTGTCCTCATTATGAAGTTTCTCTTGTGTAAAATAATTTATAATAAAGAACAGGGCACTGTCTGTAGCTTTCCAGTGATGCTTTTGGCAAAGCTCAAGCCAAATTAGATACTGATGCATGGCATGTAGCTCAAAAACCCTGCAGAGCTACGCAGAATGCAGTCTTTCAGAATTTGCCTTGGATGTTCCAAATGTCTTTCCTGCATGGACCATTTATCTCCTCCTGAGGGAGCAAGGATCATTACCATGGAAAGCAGTTACTAAGCCAACATTCGAGCCATCATCATCCAGGGATGTGGATTAACAAAGCTACAGAACTGGGGCAGTTTTAGGTGTTTTTCTTTATTTCTTTTCTATACAAAGATCAAGAACCAACACAGAACTGTATCTTCAGCTTTTCTCAATTCATGTTTTCAGCAGCATCTGCATAATATAAGAAAGAACATTTACTCAGTCAAGTTTCTGTTTCCAACAAGGCCTGCAGAGCCAGGGGTTACTGTAAAGGCAAGCTTCTGCCACTGCTCACACCTGGTATTCTCAATGAAATTTAACCTGCATTTTTCTTTCTAGGATAGAGTAAGTAATTGGTAAAGATATCTATTTAGTTTTAAGTTTCTGTCTTGCTCATCAAAATGAAGTGCATTAACTTAATTCTTATCAGTTAGACTGCAGAAACGTCACCTTCTGCTTCAGCACTTCCTTGCAGCTGAAAAAAACAAAACCCCATTCTATCTCCATACTGTCTAAGAGACGGCAGCCTTTCAGCTGACTTGTTCATTTTGTCCCATGCACAAAAGCTATTTTAGGAAATATTGGTTTTGTTACACAAGTTTAATAAAGTTTTATAATATCAAAGATTGCTCTTTAAGACACTGCCTTTATTTCATAGAACTTCATCAGCATGATTTGTTCAGAAAGAACTCATCCACCAGTGCTACAACAGATCTTACCAATGTCAGAACAGGATGTTGAAGCCCAGATCCTTTCTCTCTGTGCAGTTTTCCAGCCACTCTGCCCCAAGCCAGTAGCACTGCATGGAACTGTTGTGGCCAGCATGTAGGACACAGCACTTGGTCTTGTTAAAGCTCATACAGTTGGCCTCAGCCCAGTGAGCAGCCTGTCCAGATCCTGCTGTAGAGTCTTCCTACTCTCAGGCAGATCCACAATTCCTCCCAACTTGGTGTCATTCACAGACTTACTGGAGGTGCACCCAATCCCCTCGTAGAGATCATCAATAAAGATATTAAACAGGGCCAGCCCTGGTACTGACTCTGGGAAACACCACTCATGACCAGTTGCCAGCTGGATTTAACTGCGTTCACCACTGCCCTCTGGGCCCAGCTGTCCAGCCAGCTTTTATTCATTTTGCAGTAAGTATTCTCACCTCTATTGCTAAATGCTCAAATACTGAATTTAATTGCAATCACATGAAAAAGCAAAACACAAAAAAAGAAAATCCCAACCTCCCCCACATCAATTCAATCAGGGATTACCTGTACAAAATTAAGGGACTAATGAGCAAGTGACAAGCACATGGAAGTTCTCAATGATCCTTATTAAAAATAAAAAGCAGTTTAGAAGATGTCTTCAATTCTCACGGGGCCAAACAAACACTTACATGATTGCAATCATCGCAGAAGTTGCTAGTTTTTTTTAATATCCTACACATACAGATGCTTGCTTTGCATTTTTTAAGAATTCAGCAGGAAATCACCTTACAATCACGCTTTATCCCTGAAATTATTACCTGAAGCACAGAGAGCAGGAATATCATTTTGAGACTCCCAAAGTTGTTTGAAAGAAATAATCCTAAACTGGACTGTGACATAGAAGGAATGACCTAGCGTATACAGATCACACAGTGAACTGAAAGAAAACAGCAAGATATCAAAAATACATTAAAAATAGTAATCTGTTTAATCAACAGGAAGTACAAATGACTCTTTTGGCAGTTACTTTGAGCAAACCTAGCAATAAGACATTTGAGTACCATGCTGATGCTCACATATGACATCCTCGTTGAACTACTGAAATATGAGGTTGGCAATCTTAAACACAAGCACAAAAGAGGAGACAGCCAAGCCAGAAGGCCCCACTAGCCCTCTGCCATTCTTTTAAGTATGGCTCCCAGGCCACCCTTTGCCACTTTCAGTGGGGTCAGCTCTTCTTTATTTTCAATGTGAATACTTGCACCATTAGACACCAGCAGCTTTGCCTCATCCACTCTCTCTTCATCGCAGGCTAAATGACTGCAATAAAAACAAGAAACCCACAGCCACTTTTAAGTAGTCCAAGCTTATGAAGAGCAATAATTATGCCTTGTCAAAACAAGAATGTTGTGGGGAACGAGAGGAGAGAAATCCTAGAAAAATAAAACCACGCATAATCGACCACCTACAAAGACTTCAAAGCCTGGCTCTGCAGTCAGCAAAGATAAGGAGCACAAAATCCATAGTGAAATTGGAAAACAGTAATCTCTATTTGAATCAAAAGAAATAAAACAAATTGTAAAGAATTACTGTAAACACAGCAAGTGCTTTTCTTTCAATTTAGCATCCTATCCTGAAAATAAATGCATGTGTTCTACAATAAATAGGGTTTTATGTATAGCAAAAATACCCTGCTCAATCTTATTCATGGCAAAATCTTGATTCCAATGCAGAGAAGGCAGGTTTCTGCCACCAACTTCAAAGCAGCTAAGGTTTCACTCTTACAGATTCAAATTGCTCTCTGAGGCAATAACAAACACTGGATTAGTTATACTTAAATCGCATGTTATTTTCCTTAGAGAAGTGAGGAAAAGTTTCCAAAATTAGTTCTTACTTGACAGGACAGAGCAGGCCAGCCTGCAAGACCAGTTCCTTATGACTTTGATGTCATTAGCACGCTTTCTACTCCCTAGTGGAAATGGAATGTATTCCAAGTAATTACAAAAGGTGTTCTACATTTTATAATAGATGTAGTAACACAAAGTATGGATGTACAGACACACTTATACAAAACACTAATTATTATTTTCTAAAATCTTTTTTAATTACACAGGGATGTGAAGCAAAGGAGTATTCTGAGGCATCCTAAAGTTAAAAAAGCAATTTTGAAGTGATGGAGTTTCATTTCATGGAAATTACGCTATAGCCAAACCAAACATAAAAGAAACCCTAAAACCAACCAACAAACAAAATCACTTACAGGGGAGTGTTCCCTTCTGAGTCCTGTATGTTAACAGATGCATTGTGCTGCAGAAGGATCTGTATCATTTTTAGGTTGCCTTTGGCTGCTGCTCTATGCAATGGGGTAGATTCAAAATGATCTGTCGCATCTGGATCAGCTCCATTCTCTAACAGCATGACTGCAATCTGAAGGCGTAGGAAGAGAAAAAAGGGGAAAAAAAACTGAAGAAAAGTTCATACAACCAAACACTTTTTCTGACAGCAACACCAACTGCAGCAGCACCGGCAGCCGTACCTCCTGCTTATTTTTGGAGGCTGCGTAGTGCAGGGGCGTGCAGCCGTTCTGATTGACGGCATTGATGGGAGCCCCCTTGTCAATGAGGGCCTTCACGATCTCATCGCGGCCCGCCGATGCAGCAATGTGCAAGGGAGTCCAACCGGCCTGCAGAGGCAAGCACAGAAGTTATTACAGCAAAGACGTCACGCAAGAAAACATAACCCCAGTGCAGAGCAGACCGCTCACCAGTCATACAGCCCCCAGCTGCAGCACTTAACGTCACTATCGGCAGGCAGACCAGCCGTGGGCCCGCTCACAGCTCTGCACTCGGCCCCCACAGAAGCTGCAGCCGCACAGCAGAAGCCATTTAGCTCCAGCTGCCCGTGGCACCGCAGGGCACCTCACCCCTCGGATGAGGCCCGGACAGCAGCGCTTACAGAAGATTTTTTAAAGAGTAACAGAAACGGCTGAGAATCGTTTCCAAATTTTTGCCCCGGGCCGCCTCACTCACGTCGTCCTTGTCGCCGACGGGCACGCCGAGCCCCAGCAGGAGATCCGCCACGGCCGTGCGTCCCGCCGAACAGGCCCAGTGCAGCGCGGTGCGGCGGTCCTGCGGGGAGGGAGCGGCGGTCAGCGGGCCCCGGGCCGCACGGCCGCCCTGACGGGACCCGTTCCCGCCGCGGCGCGCTCGGCCGGCCGACCTGGTCGGTGGCGGTGGCCAGGGCCCTGTCGCGCAGCAGCTGGGCGCGCAGCTCCTCCAGGCGCCCGGCGTAGGCCAGGTTGCAGACCTCGACGTTGGACACCGCGCCCTCCATGCCGGCCTCCCGCCCCGCCGACAGGGCGGCGCCCCGCCCCGCGGGCCGGCCAATCGGCGGGACGCCGCGCCGACTCCGCCCGATCGCGCCCGTAGGCCGCCTCCGCGCCGCGGGGGCTGCTGGGATTCGTAGTCCGCCCGGCTGGACGCGGCGCGCCGCCACCCGGCGGCGGAACTACAGCTCCCGGAGCGCCCCGCGCGGCCGCCGCGTCGGATCTCCGCGTCGGGCCGAGGAGGAGGATGGTGACGGCGGGAGGATGGAGTCAGGTGAGGGGCGGCGGGACGGGGCCGCGGGGTGAGGGGAGCGGCGGGATCGGGGCGAGCCGTGCGCAGCGGGCCCGGCGGATCGCTGAGGTAAAGCCTGCCGGCCTCGGCGCGAGGGCCGCGCCTCAGGGCTCGGGGCGGGACGTCGGGGCCTCGCGGCCGGGAGGAGCCGGGCACCGCGCCGTCGGCTCCGGGAAGCGCGCTCCGCGGGGGCTCGCCGGGCGGATCCGGGAGCTGCGGTACAGCCGTGCGGGCGCGGCGGCTGCGTGACGGCTGCGGGCGGGCGGTGTGCCGTGTGCCGTGTGCCGCTCCCGCACGGCGCCGTCGTTCTTCCTGCGGGAGGAGCGACGTAGGATCGCGTCTGCTTTGGCTTCGTGCTTGCGGTCAGCGCTGTTTCTTCAGGTTGACGTCTGAAAGATAACGACCGAGGGGCATTTTTACTCTTCCAACGAGCCCCGCTTTAGTCATGAAAGAAAAAGAAAAAAACCCAAAGCCCTGCAACGATCGGACTTCCTTCTGTAATCGGTATTAATTACCGTTAGCCAGTGACGCAGGCAGACCCTCCTTCCCTCCCTCCCTCCGCAGCCGGGCCGTGCGGCGGCAGCCATGTCGTGCTATGGGAGCGGGGCGGGGGCTGAGCGCTGCCCTGTTGTGCTCAGTTCTGTCCAGGTATGAAAACCAGATCACTATTCTGTCGGAATACTTAGAAGAATTTCCCGACACCGACGAGCCGGTGTGGATTCTGGGAAGGCGGCACCAGCTGAATGAAGGTACCTCTCACGTGAAGACTCTTCTGTGACATGCTGGTTGTGGTGCAGCAGCAGCTTCTCCCTGGAACAAAACCCCCAGCTGTAGGTAGTGGTACTCAGCCCTGAACGAAACCCCAGTGTCACTGTCTGTCACTGCTCGTGCAGAGACCGCACGACTGGCAGAGGTGTGAGCTTGGTCCCTTCTCGTCACCAGATCCTTCGGAAATTAAAAACAAATCTGCAGGGAATGGTTGGTATTGCTGATGTTATTTACCCTCGAGGGGAGCTGTCTGTCAGATATAAAGTGAGATTTCAAAATCAGCAGCAGAATAAAAAGTAATAATCTGAGGCATGTGCTGTAATTTGGTGAAAAGCAACATAGCCTGATAGCCTTAGCAATTCTGTGTGATACAGAAATCAGATTTCAGAACTGAGTTTTGCTCCCTGAGGAGGGGACAAGGGCATCACACTGTGTTACATGTCAGAGGTAGCAGCTGTCATTGCAGCCATGGTATTGGGACACCCAAGGGTCCCGTCCTCAGCCTCGGTGAGCTGAGAGATCCCTAGAAAGGCCAGAGAGTCTGAGCACAGCTCCGAGAGAAAGCAGCAGGTAAGAGCTGCTTTGAGAGCCTTTGGGAGAATTCTGTAAGTGTATATTTAATAAATAAATAAATAAAAGAATTAATTAAGTCAGTATTATTAATATTTTCAAGAAATAACAGTGTATTGGGTTTGGAAGTGATGCATAATTCTATGCTGTTTGGCACGTAGGAGTTCTTCACCTTAACTTGCTTTACCAGTTCTTTCCTGAGGACATAGTTCTCCATAGCATTTCATTCAAGCTGGACAGAATCATTCCAAACACCTTTCACAACTTCATTGCCTAGTAATTATTTCATTCTTAACAATCCAACTTTAATAATAAGTCTACAAAAGTTCTCAGGTTTAAAAGGCTAAAAAAGCATCTAAGTATTAAAGACCTTATATGTAGAAGCTAACAGGAGTCATCTGTGAGCCTATATCTAGGCTATATAGGAAAAAACTGGAATTCTCTAGTTCTAAAAATTTATTTCTTTCCTTTTAAAAACATTCCAGACAAATCTAAGTTATTGTTGGATGTCAGTGCTCGTCTCTGGTTTACATACAGAAGAAAGTTTTCTCCTATTGGTGAGTATACTGCAGACCTGTTGCCTCATTAAAATTAAATAGCAGGAGTAGGGATGGCCTCATGGACTGACAAATGATTTTTACATTATTACATTTTGAGCATTGTTATAATTATTTATGCAAACAGCATATTGAAGTTATTAAAATCTATGTTACTTACACCTGCATGTAATCAGGTGCTCGTGTTTGTACAGCAAGTAGTACATATTTGTGAGTGTTGTTGAATGAGGAGTAAGTCAGCTCCACAAGGAGTACATAAACCTTATTTGTGCTGTGTAGAGATTAGACCAGCAGTGTGGGGAAATAAAAGCATTGCACCCACAGGACAATTACTGCAGATTTCAGCAGACCTAACTGGGCTCTTACACTCTGACAGTTTCTTTGTGGTGCTGCCTCCCGTTCAAAGCCTGTATTAATTGTGATGAACTTTCCTAATAGGAGGCACTGGTCCTTCGTCTGACGCTGGCTGGGGATGTATGCTGAGATGTGGGCAGATGATGCTGGCACAGGCACTGATCTGCAGGCATTTAGGAAGAGGTGTGTACTGCTTCTGAGTGAACATCTGTACTGTTTGGAGACCACATTCCTTTAGTGTGTGTGTGTGTATAGTATTCCATAAAAGCACAAAACCCAGATTTATTAATGAGACTTTATTTGATGCTTTGGTAAAAGTTACTGATTAATTGTTCTTGTCTGACTGGGTGAAATCATAGCAACTCTAAGCAGAGAAATAGAGAGAACAGGCAGGAATCCTGTTTCTCTCCATAACTAAGGAAACTGCCCCTATTACAGGCAGAAGCAGACATGGCAGAGCTGTTGTGGATTTGCTGTGTGAGAGGACTTTCCAGGATGGACCTTGTTTTGTTATTTGATGTATGTTTACAAATCTCACAAGATTTAAGTAGAGCATGTGGTTTTAAATAACCTTGGAAGCTCACAGATACTGCAGTAGCTCTCAGTGCTCAGCAGCCATCAGTCAGAATAAATCTGCAGTTGATGACGTTTTTGCCATTTAGCCTATGATGATTTAAAGGAAATAGCAAACTGAATTTTAGACACTCTAAACAAAAAGGAAATTTTAGAAATGAATTGTGTGGAGGTTGCTCTGAAAGTAATGCCTCCTGCTTATTTCCATGAAAACTACAACAGATACAAACAGCACAATAACACTATTTGATAGAGCAAATTCTCAGCTACAAAACACTACTTTTAAACACAGACACCACCAGTAGCTGTGCATTTACACCAGCTGTGAACAAGAGCCTGCATGCTGCACTCATACAAATCTGTGCCAGCAGACGTGACCTGCTGTTGCCACTGCTGAAATGCACCACTCAGTGCCTCAGTGTGCTCACACCCACTCTTTGGTCTCCAGAGACATTCAGCAAGTCTCAGTGAATGGCAGTGGATGCCATTTTTTCCGCATGGAGGAATTCAGTTCCACCCCTTTGCTTCATCCTCACTTCCATGTCAGATGCCGTGCTGTCACACTGCCCCTCTGCTGCCATCTGTCACATGGCAACAAAATGTAATGGGATATTGGTGGGAATCATGGAATCATTAAGGTTGGAAAAAACCTCTCAGATCACCAAGTCCAACATCATAAAATGGGAGGCATTACTTTCAGAGCAGCCCTTGTGGGTTACTCTTGTACCATCTCATTGTGTGGCTTACTACTTTCCAGAAATTTGATCAGGATAATGGAAACATTATGTTTTTTTAATCATTGTGTTTCCTCTCAGATTGGCAATGGGAAAAACACAAAGAACAACCAGAAGAATATCACAGAATCCTCCGATGCTTTCTAGACAGGAAGGATTGCTGTTATTCCATCCACCAGATGGGTAAGAACAAACAGACTTTCTACTGAAATTCCTACTGTACTGAAACTTAATAATTTGTAATCTGTTAATTCATAACTTTAAGTAGTGGTTATGAAGGCAGTGTGTGTTTAGATATAAAAATGCATGTAGGTGGCTATGAGGCATAACAGCACAGAAATGTTGTTCACCGAGGCCTAAATAAAAGCACACGCTAGAATCTGTCCCCTGATAAACTATGTAAGCCTTGGGTACCAGGGTCAGTAATACTAAAATAGACAGTTATGGAGCTTATTGCTGTGATCTGTAATAATTTGTAATAATTATTTGTAAATCTTACTATTGTTCAGAAACTTTATTAAAGGAACTGCCAGTACTTGAAGGGAGCTTATAAGCAGGAGGGTGACCGGCTGATAGTTGGAATAGGGAATGGCTTTAAACTAAAATTCTTTATTCTGAGAGGGTGGTGAGGCCCTGGCACTGCTGCCCAGAGCTGTGGGTGCTCCATCCCTGGAGGTGCCCAAGGCCACACTAGATGGGGCCCTGAGTGGCCTGGGGAGGAAGGGCAGCCAGCCCACAGCACACCTGGGAGCTTGATGGGCTTTAAGGTTCCTTCCAACCCAACCATTCTGTGATTTTATGGTTCTGTGAACTAACAACAGTAAGGATTTGAAAAAAGCATAGGTTGAGAAAATAATTGTTAATTGCTAAATATAATTTGCAGTTACTCAAAACTTCTCGTATAGCCACAGCATTGAATATTTTTTGTTATTGAATTCTTTGTCATCTCTCTTCTCTGTTTGTGGTTTGTTTTTTTCCCCTTCACAAAAACAGCACAGATGGGTGTTGGAGAGGGGAAATCGATTGGAGAGTGGTTTGGACCAAATACAGTTGCTCAAGTATTAAAGTAAGTCAGCTCCTACCAGCTCATTCAGAATGTGCTCCCCCAGGGCATCTAGCTCAGAGATCAGGATAAGGCCCAGGTGGGGTTTTAAAGGCTGCATCTGCCTGTCTCAGAATCAGGGATACATTTACTGTGTGTTTACAAGTGTAATGTAGGATATGGTGGGCAGGAACTGAACTGGGAATGGGTGAGCTCTAGATTTTAGTACAGTAAGAGCCTGGGAAAGAGAAACTTGAAGTTGTTCTCAGTTGCTGCGCTGTCTGTTTGCCTAAACAGTAGCCACCACAGATGTCTGCTTCTTTCTGCATAGAGGCACAGATTTAGCAGGTCAGGAGTGCTACCAGGTAGGATAGGCTGGCAGTATGAAACATCAGAGGGAAGCCAGCTGGGCCAAGGGGAAACTGAACTGCAATTGCTCATTTTCTGGGGAGCAGTTGTGCCAACCACGAAAGATGGGCAGCTCCTTAGAAGAGCTGACTTTGCTTAGTTCTTGGAGGGATAAGAGGGATATGGACCTGCATCGAGGCTGCAGGTCTTCAGTGCTCAGCAGCAATTCTTTGCAACCTTGGGACAGGAACATGTTCTGGAAAAAAGGAGGAGTTGAAGCACACCCTGAGCCCCAGCACTTCTCACTGATAAGTTCTTCATGGGTTAGTGCTCACATCTGGGTTTTTCAGGCTTATTTCAAACAGCTAACTCTGCCTGTGTAGTTTCAGACTGTAGTTCCCTTCCCCAGAGGTCTGGATTTCACACATATGAACAGAAACCTCTGTATCCCACCTAACTTTTGGATGCCCAGATTCCTTTAGCTTTTAATGTCCAATTCTACTTTGCACACACACACACACACAGAAATAGTTCCACTGAATTCAGTAGAACTTCTTATGCAAAAATTAATATGCAAAGCTGGCAAAGGAAATTTTTCCTTTTCTAGACAGTGACAGACACGATGGGCAAGATTCCATTGCGTAGGCTGTTAAATGCAATACAAAGTAGCAAACTTAATTATGTGGTTGAGCTGTTACTATCACTGCAATTGGCAATGACAAAACAGTTTTCACATGGTAGAGTGTATATGCTTTTCCTGCTCCGACTCAGTATCTGTTTTTCCAAATATATTAAATGTTTAATATTCAAAGATTACTCCTTATTGCACCAAGACCTTCAAAAACCCAAGAAGTTTGATTTTCCAAAGGAAAAAACCCAAAACTTTTAATTATTCAAGAATCATGTATTTTTTCCAAGTATAAGTACCCTCTTGGGCTAACTAGTTCATGTCAATTTGTTCTCTAGGAAGCTCGCTTTATTTGATGAATGGAATTCATTGGCTGTTTATGTATCTATGGACAACACAGTGGTCATTGAAGACATCAGTAAGTGAAACATTAGTACTCCTATAGCTGTTTCTGATAAGACTTCATTTTCCCAAATGTATCTAAACATGAACAAACTACTTCAGGGCCACCTGTATTCCTTCCTGGTGTAAGAAAAGGGATAAAAAAAATCACAAACTCAGGTTTGCATGTCCAAAACTAAAGCCACTGTGCAGCTGGGGAGAAGACAAAGATGGTCTGTGCTATCTAAACTCTTAGCTCTTAGATGGAATGAGGTTGCAGTTTATGTAAATTGGTTTTAATGCAGGGTTTGTGAAAGAGTTGTGCTTTTTGTAGGCAAAAAAAAGAAAGCAGCAGCAGATCCTAGCACTGAGAAATGCATGGCCTTGCTTAATTTACAGTCCTAAGAAAGGTGGATTTACAAATGAAGCTTAACCACAGTCCACTTCTGCTTCAGTCCCTGTTGTTTTCTTTATGCTCACATCGTTGGGTGCAAAGAGTTCCTCAAGGAGTTCCTGATGTCATCATCTCTGCCGTTTCATTTCTGTGATGTTTTACAGACGAGTCTTGAGCATATTAATAATACCAACAGTAATTGTCATAGATGTCAGGCTTAAATTTTCATCTCCCAGTCATCAATGCAGTGTCTCACTTTGATGTGCCAGCACATACTGTCTGCTAGAATTACTTCCGATAAACAGCTATAATTAATTTCCGTGCCCTGCTCATTTTATCTTGGGAGCTCTATGAAGATCTCTGGCACAGCAGCCTGATTTATTTCAGAGAGGAAGATCTACTTTGTGTTCCTTTGTGCACTGACTGATTTCTGGTTGTATTCCCACAGAGAAGATGTGCTGGTCCCCTCCCCAGAGCAGCGGCACAGCCCACAGCAGTGCACATTTGCACAGAAGTGCTCTTGGCCGAAACAGGAACACAGCAGGACTCTGCACAGGCTGGAAGCCCCTCTTGCTTATTATACCTCTACGACTAGGGATAAATCACATAAATCCAGTATATATTGATGCATTTAAAGTAAGGTTTTTTCCCCAATGAATTGGTTGTTATTGTCAAATAAGTTCAAGTATCCGTGAGATCAGTAAACAAATCAACTATAATTTCCTTTTCCTCCCTTTGAATTCCTAGGAATGCTTTAAGATGCCACAGTCTTTGGGAGCATTAGGAGGGAAACCAAATAATGCCTATTATTTCATAGGATTTTTAGGTAAGGAAAAAGGGAAACTTATTCAAAATATGCAGATGGTTAAAAGAGAAATTTCTGGGGGGAGAGTGTGAGCAGTTTAATTATGAATCTCTAAAGAAAAATCAGAGTACTGTTAAAGAGATGAAGAAATACTTAAAGTATTTCAGCAATAGCATGATGTGTTCCTTTACAGAAGCAGAAAGGTAACAGCAAAGCTAGGTGCAAAAAGAAGTAATGACAGGCAAAAACAGCACACCGATGCCGATAGCATTCGACAAGTGTATTGGTCCACTGTCACTTCTCTTATTTTCTTGCATTTCAAATGTGTTCTGATAGTGTGTCTTTTCCACCTTCTTGCAGATCTTCTTGTATCATGTATTCCTTTAATTGTTGTAAATATGGTCATCCAGATTTCACCTGTTTGGCCCAAGTTTTATGGACGTTTTGTTCCTTTGTAAAACCTGAGCTGTTTTAGGCATTTTTGTTCCAATTTCTGAATGAATGCCTAATGGGATTATAGATTTAATTTCTGGCCATCCTGTACCTTTTGATCTTGGAATGTTAGGGATTACAGCAGTTGAGATTTGAAAAAAAAAAAAAAAAGGAAAGTACTGGATCTCACATGGGAAAAGGAAAGAATGTGAGAAAGGTAGAACATACCAACCAGAAGATCTGCAGTAATAGGTCAAAATAGAAGATTACAGTAAATATCCTGTGGAAACATTGTGTCTAAGCTTTTTGATTCTCCTTAGCAATCCCTAAACAGAAGACCTAGATAAATTGTCACCACAGTCAGTGTTAATTTTGGTTTTGCAGTTCTGGACTTAGTGCTCATTAAAGTCACTTGTTTGTTTTCAACATATGGGTGTCATCCATACAGGCAATGAGCTGATCTATTTGGACCCTCACACCACCCAAAGCTTTGTAGATTCAGAAGAGAATGGCACAGTTGATGACCAGAGCTTCCACTGCCAGCAAGCTCCCCACAGAATGAAGATCATGAATTTGGACCCTTCAGTAGCTTTAGTAGGTGTTAGAAAGTAATAAATGCACATATTTTATTTCAGACTAAGGGCAAGAATGTGTTTCTTCAATAGGATCGAAATCACAAAGCTGTCTTTTATCAACACATAGCATCAAGATCACATAGCTGTTTCTATATTAACTACATAGGATGCATTAATCTTAGGTCACACAGGCACTGTGTGTTTGCATGACAGGGAGCTACCTTCAGTTTCTTTGCTGAGTGCATTTGCTGTGTGCAAGCAGCATGTGTATAGTGGTTAAAGGAATGGAATCAGGCTTACTTGTTTTATTCTGTTGCTGTCTTATAAGCTTGATCACTCTGGACAAGTTATTTATTGTATCATAATTTAAAAATCTATAAATGGAATTATTTGTAGAAGTCATCCAACATACTTTACAGTGTTCTATGGGCACCTGTTGTATCTGAAGAAATGAAATCTGACCCTGTGCCATTATCCTCTGGTAGGGATTTGGCAGTTGTCACCTATGAGATGTGTGTCTCTAGCTTTAAACAAGATACCAGCGTCTTTCATTCACTGGCATATTGCTATTATTACTGCTACTTTCTAGAAAGTATTTTCATTTTTTTTTAAATACTTATCTGTGTAACTCTACAACATCTGGAATAATGCAGTGAGCCAGACAAAGGCATAATGAAGAACAAATATTTCCAGCACAGGTACCATATGGAAAGTGTTCTTTAGGTTATTCTTTATGTAAGGCTGATGCCTGGGCTCTTGGAGCTGGCCGTGCCTCCATGACAGAGCACACAGCAGCTGCTGCATGTTTTTGATTGATTGGTTTGTTGGGGTTTGAAGGGCCTTGTGCCACCCTTGGGTTCTCGCCCTGAACTGCCACATATTTGGGGTCTTTTCGTTGAGTGGCCGTAGGGGGAATCAGCATATTGCTGCTCACACTGCTTTACCTGCTGCACTGTGGATTTGTAATTTGCAAAATAACACTCTGTTGTATTTTTGTTGTTTGGTTTTTCCCTCCTCAGGGCTTCTTTTGCAAAGAAGAATGTGATTTTGATAACTGGTGCAGTCTCGTACAAAAGGTAATGGTGGCAAGTGACCATCTTTGTTCACTCTATAGGAATTCATGGTTTTGGTTTGTTGTTGGTTGTTTTTTTTTCCTAAACCAGAAACTCCCATTACATTTATCTCTGTATTCGCATGAAAAGAGCCAGAGAAGAATTAATTAACAGATCGGGGTAAGAGAGTGTTGCAGTGTTGTTAAGCAGAAATTGTTCAATGCTTTGACAGCCAGGAACCCTGCCACTTGAAAAATGGGTGGAAACAGATACCCTTTAAGGGGCAAACAGCTGAGCTGTGAAGCAAACAGCTGAGGAGAACAGTTTGTATATAACTGTAATATGTATCAGGAGGTGACATCTCTTTGAAGAGCAGTAGCACTTGGCTTCAGTAACAGCTTGCTTTTCCTGATCAAAACTCATCCTTCCAAATCTGTTGGTTTTTGGAGCTGCTCTGTCTTTTATTGCAGAGTTCCACACAGGTACTTTTCTTCTAAAAGGCAGAAAATATTGAGCATTCTTGGTGTCTACTGCTACATGTAAACAAAATCACAGGTGTATAGAAATCAAAGCTGTTCATAAGCCAGTGATATCTTGTGTACAGTTCAAGAGATCTGTCTGCCAGGTGTGCTTTTAATGAGGAAAATGTTAGAAATCTATGGTACTCAAAGTATAACAGGACCTCACAGTATGTCTGCATAAAGCCTTTGTTTCCTGATAGATACACATAATGAAAGGATGTTTTTATTGAACAGACACCTAATTGTGCTTTAAGGTTCTCTCAAGACATCATTTAAAATGAAAGTATTCTGTCTTCAGGAGATTCTAAAGCAACAGAGCCTACGGATGTTTGAGCTCGTCCAGAAGCACCCGCCCCACTGGCCTCCATTCATACCTCCAACAAAGCCAGAAGTGACAACTACAGGAGCAGGTATGGTGCGGGCTGAGAGCCCTCCTGTGCAGCTCAGTGTCCCTCCTTAGCAAAGAGAAGAACAGTCGCAGGTGGAATAACTGTGCTTTCCTAAGCGTCGAGCAATACCTATCTGCCACCTATCCAAACAATCCATACAACTGCTAGCACAGATTTACTTATCTTTATCAGTCTTACAAGATGCTTTTCTGGAATGCGTCTTTCAAAGTTTTTTCTTTTAAGTAAATAGTCAGGCACTACTTTAGCATCACTTCTGTTTTGCAGAACTCATTGAATCTACTGACAAGCTGTTTGAATTGGAAGAAGAATTTGAAATCCTGAGTGTATGAAGGAAACTGTGGTGACTCTTCTGAGTACTGAACACATTGCTAATATCATTGCATTGACTTACAGCCATGTTAGCCCCAAAGTGCCTGAAATTATGGAAAAAACAGAGCACAGAATCCGAGTAGCATCCAAAACTCCAACGACAGTTTAACAAGAGCTTCCCCAGATGGAAAGGCAATAAAAGCTCTTGTGGTAAGATGCTTAACAGGAATCTCTTTTCAATATCTTACCTGAAGAGAAACAGGCCTTTGAGATTAAGGCAAAAATAAGCGTATTTCTGGGCTCTATGTTTGGAGAAAGGGATAACCCAAATGGATATTTCTTGCTCTCATAATAATGCAATAGTTTAGTTCTTAAAGCAAAACAGTCTTCAATTAAGGAGGATGTTTACTTCTGTTCCCTCCTGTGGGCTGCATCATAGGAAAAAATACGTTGTCTTGTTTAAAAGATCGACTGGATCATGAGAAAATTGTTTCCTTGTTAAATATTTTAACATGTATCTGAGCAACCACACTTTATTACAAAAATGTTTCTGTAAAAGGAACTGTGTCTAATGTATACATTTTGCAATAGCCTTCCTGCTTCTGGGAGACCTCGAGAGGAACGGGAGACTCAAATAGTTGATACAGATCACAACCACTGTTACAGTTATGGTATATTTCACCTTGACCTTAACATCAAAATCATTAAAACTTAGGTTATTTCAGAGCTAAAAAGAGTCAAAGGTGGTTTAACTGTACCTTATTTATTTTAAAGTAGATTTACACAAACTTCTGTTATAGCACTTTATCTGTGCATCTAATAAATTTCTTAAGCTTTTCATAGGTTGTATGCTGCTATATTTTGTTAATTTGTTTGTGTGAAATAAATGCAAACCAGGTTATGTTAAGACTTAATATATACACATAGACAGATTACATCATTGTTACTTGAGTTATTGCCTTTTGAGATCTGTTGTGGTCTAAGTGCCTTAATGTTACAGGTTGATCAGAGCAGCCTGAGTGGTTGTATTTCTATAAGGCAGAGTATCTCTCTAGCAGCCCTAAGAAAAACACTTAATTTAAGGCAGAGATCTTTTACTCCATGGTAAAGGTCTACCAGGCAGTCCCCAGGGTGGTCATTCTGTCATGACAGTGCGATAAACGTGAACTGCAGAGTTTCATCTTCACCAATAAAAACACATGGAGAAATACTGAATGCTGTCTCCTCTCACTTGCACCTCCTGAACAGGGCCAGTGTGATAAGGAAAGAGCTAAGAAGAGCCTTTTTCATCTTGTTTAGTGTTTATTAAACACAGTTTGGAAATTATACGCTTAGAAAAAACAGCACTTTTTCTCCTCCTCTACCCAGGGATTAGCTGCATGCCTTCTGAGCAGCTGGAGGAGCTCTGCAGGGCCAAGCTCTCCTCCTGAGCTGTGAGCTGTTTGATGCACGACTGTGGTTCTGGGTGAGCAGCAGGAAAAGGCCATTTGTGGAACTCAAGGGAAGTTTGGGTATTGATAGCAACAGAGCCAGCTTCTTGCAGTAGAAGCATACTTCTCTAAAGATACTGGCACGTTAAATGCATAAAGTTCTAATCCTGAAAAAAACACATTTCATATGTTCATGTTCAAAAATCAAGTCTGCAAACACATCTGACTGACACTTCTTATAGCACCATGGAAGCCCAATTGCTGAAAATGTCACAGAGTTAATTGCAGACATTTTCAGCATACGGTGAGCACTGCTGTGTGCACACAGCAGCTTTTTCACGTTGCATTTGCCTACACCAGGAGCAGAATATGCTCAGTCTGTGCTGGGACAGCTAAAAGTAAATTCTATATTCTGCACTAAAGGATCATCAGTCAGGAACACTACAACATCTTAAAGTAATTGCAAAATACACCCAAAGCAGCTGCAGATCTTTCACAAGCAGGAAAGAGTTACATGAAAGACTAAAAATTCTTATCACAAACTCTCTGTTCATCTCTACTGTGATTCAGCTCTGAACACACAGAGCTCTCTGATTCCGATCTGGGAAAATAACATCATATTATGCATATAAATAAGCATTGCAGATTCATAGAGCGCTTTGGGTTGGATGGGACTTACAGATCACCTGGTTCCACCCTCAATCATTGAAGGTAAAAACAGTATCCGCTCAAGTATTTTGCTGGATAGAGCTGGACCTCTAGCAACTAGTAGAGAAAAAATACTTTAAATTCATGTCTCAGTCTTGACAGTAATAATCTGACAATTTGTCTTCAAAATCTTTAAGCCAAGGCAATAGTGTATTTGCAAGGCACTTCCTTCAGCTGTCCTGGAATGTCAATATGTCAGGGTTTTGTGCACATCACTAGAAAGAGAAATTGATAATCACACTGCTAGGCCAACTTAATGAATTCATGTAACTATTAGCATTCTTTTTCATGGCTTTCCCTCAAAATACATAAGGATAACACAATTAGTAGCACTTTTCTTTAATTATGCCCTCTAGGAATGTGGGATTATGATAGAAATGCAATTCTCAAAATGAGCAGAATACAGCAAGCAGCCCCAGAGGAAGAACACAACCAATTGTGACTGTAGAAATAATAAATGTACATCTCGTAACTAACTGCTTTCTTCTGTATTTGCAGAGGCATTGCATGCTAGCTAATAGGCCTCTACTTTTTATACACACACAGCTTGTATAATGACACAAAACTGTGCCAAGGCAACCTCTGAAAGAAGATTAAGGTTTGCAGTAAGAAAGTGTTTCTGGTGGCTGCGCGTCATTTGACTGCAAGGAGATAAGAACAGGCCTTGAGGGAAACTTTACCTGGAATACAGTTAGAGCTATGAAAAATGCTGGAGGTGGTTTGGGCTCAAAATCAACTGTGGATATGAATTTGGATTAGAATTGATTACCTATCACTGGAGTCAAAGAACATCCCACCTGTTGTACAAGCAAAGCAAAACATTCATCAGGTCAGTTATCGACCACTTCTGCTTAGTGTTTCAAAGTCACCTACAGTGAATTACAAAATTTGGGTAGTTCCTCATTTCATAGGAGAATGTGTCCATTCCCTTACACTAGGCCAGGTGCTGTTTGCAGAGGCCCTAACAAAGCTCAACTTTGGAGGTGTGTCTCATGGTGGTGGTTGGTGCGTGCCTTGCTCAGTGGTGTATGTGAGATGCCAGTTATGCTTCGGTCTGAATAAAAAACTCCCAGAGACTTTCTGAGGTAGCCATGAATGAAGAAGAAGCCCAAACAACAGCAGAGAAATAGATAGCACCATGATCCATAGAATGGCTTTCTGAGCACTGGTCTTTCCCTTGTGTGCGAAGTCCTGGACTTGACATTTGATTTTTGTGAAATTCTGGCCATCTTGATTCCTTTATTAACCACACACAAGACAGGTTTATGAATTCATCTCCTTCACATCAGTGATGCCTACTCTTAGGTAACAAAGACTGTTCATGCTGTTTGCATTTCTGTTACAAGTTCTTCATGCACACTTGGCAGCGGCTGACCCTCGTCCGAAGCTGTCCTGCTTTCAGAGTTTCAGAGGGAGGAGCACCAACAAACTGCTGTGACTGCTCAACAGTGGTCAGCCAGAAGCTGTATTTGTTTGCAAAGTAGTGGCACGTTCCCCTGGCACCATTGCATTCAATGAAGGGCGTAGCACGGAAATCCTCCAGGCAAGAACCAGGTGAAACAAGGGACTGACCTCCACCCTCTGCACCAGCTGCTGTGTGCTGAAATAAAGATGTCATTTAAGTGAGCGCAAAGGAACAGAAGAGGAGGCAATAGGGCAGGCTTCAAGTTCTGTAGTTGAGAAAAGTAGAATGGGCAACCAAATGTACACCTTGGTTATCTGTATCTGAGTCTTGAGTCAGGGCTAGAGGCAAAGAAGCAAAGGCATTTGCTTATGCTGAATATGCAATCCTTGTATAAAGGAAATCCAGCTTTGCAATTGCAGATGGGAAAATCAGGAGACAATAATGCTGACTTCGTAGTTTTCTAATGACCTTACAGTACTGAGCTTCAAGGGGACTGCAGTGGAAATAATGTTTCAGAAGACAGAGGGGATTAAAGAAATACTGCAGCTTAATCAGTGTTTCTGCACTAAAAGGTTTGAAGCACAATGAGTATCTATGAGTATCTGTGGCAATGCAGAACTACTGCTTTGATTTTACTACCAGACTTGAGCAGTGCATACGAGAAGGCCACATAAATGGGAACAAGTGGCCTAGAGCAGGCCTGCTGATAAAGAAGTTGCTATGAGCAACTCAGCTAATTCAGTAATAGATGAGGAGATCTAAAAAAAACATGTAAAGCTGCCACGGCAGTAGCAATGTTATCCTTACCATTAGGAAGGAGTATCCTATCCAGAGGCTGCGCCAACCAAGGGGACACTGTGGGATGGTGATATCCTGGCTGTGCACAGCCACAGCCTGGGATGGTGCTTCGCACACGGAGCAACGACTGATGTACTGTGGGATCTGATTGCTGTTCACTGGCATCATGGGGATGGGAGCGGTGGTGGACAGCCAGTAGGACTTGTCGTTTCGGCTGGCGTAGTAGCACACTTCGTTGATGTTGCAGTAAATAAAAGGCATAGTGCTGAAGCGGGGCAAACAAGAGCCAGCAAAACCTGGAAGAATTGGGGAAACAGTCATACCAAGCATCTGCCAAATGTTCCAGCTCATACGCACTACCCAAAAGTAGCATAGCATGGCACAATTAACACTGCTTCCACAGCAGATTCTGGCCAAGGAGACTTTCCCTGCAGCAGCTGTCAGCAGTACCAGGGAAAACTACACATTAGAAATAGGGTTTTGGCCTACATTGTATATGCCTGAGAGAAGCACATCAACTCACCAAGATCCTGGTTGTGTGATTTTTCCTGTCCCTCCACGTACAACAAGCTGTAGCCATCCCAGAGCTTGTTCATGCCAATGGGACAGGGTGGGATTTGGTCTGACTGGCTGTGCTTCACTAAGGTGTACCCGACTCCCACGCTCCGACCAGGCATTCCCGGCAAGCCAAGCGCGCCCGGCTTTCCAGCAGCACCTAGAAGGCAGAGGAGAACTCACCCATTGGCAGGTTGGGTATCACTTGGCTCTACAGCTGATTTTGGCATTGTGTTGTATGACAAAGAGGCCAAGTTCGGAGGGCTGTGTGACCAACAAGGCATACCAGTTCCAAAAGCAGTTGCTTCACAGTAGCACCCACTCATTTCCTACCTCGTTTCATTTTCTGTCTTTCCCCAACAACTCTAATGCCAGAGTGTTAGCATCTGTCTCACAGTACCCACATTCTCATATTCTGAAGATCTCAAAGCACCAGCTAAAACATAATAAACTCATTTTCACTTTAATGTTGATATTTCTTTGACACAGAAAGGCCAACAGCTGTACAAATCTGTGCCAGAATCCCACCCTTCTCTCTCTCATCATGCCTATATCACCCAACCCTCTCAACTGTGCTCACTGTGAGTACTGTTTTACTCCTTCAAACCTCCAAGATGGCTCCTACATCCACAGAATACTGAAACCAAAAGATGTTCAGAATTGTACCTAGGGAAACATCAGCAGTGACAGGCAACAATGACATGTGACACAATCTTCCTTACTGAAGATAAAATTTACTTCATTGCAGATACAAAGCAGAAGATCGTGTATATCCCCCAGTCTTCCTAAGGTAACTAATTTGGTTTCTTTAGAATTTGTGGACACAGAAAAGTCTAATGATCTGTGCTCTGCAAATCATACCATTACCTTCAAATCCCTGAGGTCCTGGGGCACCCAAAGGTCCCGGGTCACCAGCTATGCCGGGTGATCCAGGTAAACCGTCACGGCCTTTCAAACCAGATCTGCCTGGCAAGCCCTTTGCACCTGAAATCAAATACGGTTACTACTATCATTACCTCCTCATTCCAATACCTTCAGTCCTACAACCATATTCACAAGCAGAAATCTATTATTCGTGGCCATACTGAGAGCTCACTCTTAAACAGCTCTAGACACAAACTAGTGGTAGCAGCCCAGGCTGAAGTCCACATCACTTCTCCAGTAGCAGTATTCCACTGACACTCCAAATAATTCTCAGTAGTGAATCAGTTTCAGGATCATTCCACCTGCTGGCATCAAACCAGCTATACCACAGCTGCTGCTCCTCATTCTGCAGTGTTCACTCGAAAGCACTATCAAAGTGCATGACAAGAATTTAT